GCAGGATATAGAATCCTAAATGTTTATGCACTTAATAACAGAGCTATTACCTATTATCAATCAATGTAATTCAAACAGACTGAAAAAGAAAAATCATATGATCATCTCAGTATATGTAGAAAAAGCATTTGACAAAATTCAATGTTCATTCGTGATAAAAATGACAGCAACGGAGTAGATGGTGAGATGCTCTACTATCAATTTATCGGTTTGATTCGAAAGCTAGGACTGTCTTCATCTTTTAATCCCATGGCCAAGCACAGGCCCTGGTACCAAAAAGAGCTCAATAAATATCAGTGAATGAATAAGTGATTGAATCAGCTGTACTGCAGTTTTTACACTGGTAAATGTGGTAACAACATGTAACTATACTGCAGTTTGTAGGCTTTGAGTTTGAGAAAGTCTAAGCCCCAAACCAGATAGACTGTTATTTTGGGCAGCACCGAGTCACTTATAAGTAGGGATGTTTGTGAGTGACCCCGAGAACAAACAGCACAACTTTTCCTCTGGCAGAATGGTGCTGATGAAGCTCATTCCTTCTGGGTGGAGAGATCTCGCCCACAGACTGGACTGCATGTCCTCAAACACTGTGGCATGTGCTGACCGGGTAGGAAGCAGACTCGGCCTGCTACATGGATGCTTTGGGTGCCCTCCCCTTCCTGCTTTTATTTTTAGTAGCTTGCAGAGCCAACAGGCTATAGCTCAGCTTTTTAATTTCCCCCAAACATTTTCTAAATGAGCCATTGTTATCTTTCATCACCATGGCTAGAGGATTATCCGGCTTCATTTTAAGAGGCTATTTTTACCAAGAGATGAGATTCTTCCAGACAAGAATAAAGTTATTAATGGTGGTTTATTAAAATTCTGTTTTAGTTTAGATAATCATTTTGGGGTAATTAAGCAAATTGTATAGACTCCAATGGGACATTAATCCCCAAAGGAATCATGTGAAATGGAGAGGTCTTTAAATTCTGTAGCAAGGATCAGAGTTTGCCAACAGTGACATTTTGAATTTCCTTTGGTAAAAATGAAAAGGGAGCCATGTCAACAGGTATTGGTCCTGGGCGAAGAATTAATTTCATTTCCTTAGAATCTGTACCTCCCCTTTCTATATTAAAAGAGATCACTAAACCATTAAATCAGAGAGCTATGGATTCTAGCGTGGGCCTCACAACCATAGGACCCTGAGCGAGTTAACAGACGACTCAGTCCTATTGTCCTCACCTGTAAAAGGTATAACGATGCTGACCTCTTAGGGCTGCACTGAGGTTAAATGAAACCTTACATATGAAGCACCTCAGCACATAGTATGTCTACAATGAATGATAATTCCCTTCCACTTGACCTTTAAGAGGTCTTCAATAAAAGCTTTACCAAAAAAAATGCAATGCTATTCTGCTGTAATGAATTGGAGAATTGGATCGGGTACCAGGTGGCTTGTTTTCTGTTGAGTACTGGAGTAAGGCCACTCTTAGGTTTTAGGTATATTTGGAATGAAATGAGATACTTTTCTAAGTTGAATTGCTGCTGTTTCAGCAGGTGGTGTGGGGCCAGGATGGCATCCCCAGGAGGCTCAAGTAGGTAGCATGGTATCTTGTAGGCTTTCCTGAGGTCTCACAGCATTCACGAGTTGCCATGTTTGCCCAGGGAAATGGATGGGAAGTGGGTACAGCACTGTCCCCTTATCTGTGGTTTCACTTTTCACAGTTTCAGTACCTATGGTCAACAGTGGTGCGAAGATGTTAAATGGAATATTCCAGAAATAAAGAAATTGTAAGTTTTCAATTGCACGTTGTTCTGAGTTGTGTGATGAAATCCTGTGCCAACCCGTTTGGCCCAGGACGTGAATCATCGCCTTAGCTAGCGTATCCACAGTGTATATGCTACCCGCTTCTTAGTCACTTAGTAACTGTCTCAGACACAGAGAAAGAGAAACTGCATTCACATAACTTTTATTACAGTGTTTTGTTATAATTGTTGTTTTATTATTAGTTATTGTTAATCTCTTACTATGCCTAATTGCATAGATAGATATAGGAAAAACAAACTATATGTAGGTTTCGGGACTGTCTGCAGTTTCAGGCATCCACTGGGGGTCTTGGAACGTTTTGCCTGAGGATAAGGGAGGACTACTGTATTGTGAAGTGAGGAGACACAGGCCTCGACGTCTGCATGTTTCGGTTGTAATCCATGCTGTTATAAATTTACAGAGTGAACTGGGCAGGCCAGTGAGCCTATCGAGGTCTCAGTTTTTCCATTGGTACATCCAGGGAATTTAGGTAAATGTTCTCTCCGAGGGCCTTTTCACTCTTGTATTCTATTAGGTGGGCAGAAAGAGTGCTTGGGATAAGATCATTAATTCTGATTAACATTTATTAGTTCATTCTTTCACCAATATTTATTAAACACCTACTATCTGCTAGGCACTAAAATAGATCCCAGGATTCAGAATTAAAGGTCCCTGCTCTGGAAAGAAGCCAGACACAAAAGTGTTCATAGTGTGTGATTCCAGGCATACGAAACGCTAGAAAAGGTCACTCTTTAATGACAGAAAGTAGATCGGTAGTCTCCTGGGATGGAAGGGAGATTCACTAGGACTGGCTCACAGCGGAACTTTTTGGGGTGATGGAAATGTTTTACACAGATCCTAATACAGAGACCACTAGCCTCATGTGCCTATTTAAGTAAAATTTTAAAAAATTCAGGTCCTCATTCATATTTCCAGGGTTCAACAGTCACACGTGGCTAGTGGCCACTCTATTGCACCGAGCAGGCTTAGAAGATGCCCATCATCCTGGGACGTTCTTTTGGAGAGCACTGTGCTCTCTCTTGACTGTGGTGGTGGTTACGTGGGTGTCTAAGTTTGCCAAAGCTCATCAGAATGTACACTTAAAATGGATGCATTTTATTGCATGTCCATTATATCTTAATAAAATTGATTTGAAATAAAGTCCTACTCTCCAGAAGCTCATAGTCTAATAGAGCAGACCGCCAAGTTAAGTTATAGAGCTGTGTAAGTGCCACAAAAGGGACAAGCCCAGGGTGTCCTGGAAGTCCAGATGTGGGGCAGCTATTCAAACAGGGTCCTCTTAAACCATGGTTAGGGGAACTCTGGGAACTAGGCAGAGAGGGGGAAAGAAAGGTGTTCTAGACAATAAGATCCACTAACACAGAGTTCTTTAGGTGAGTTAGAAAAATATGCCCCTCTTTAGGAGGGACTCAGCTAGAGCATGGACTGGATTTCAGCCTCCACCCATCCTTTGGCTGAGTGTCCTCATGCGAGCCACAGCCTGTGCGGTGTCCTGGTGGCCTGCCACACAGGGCAGGAGGCATATGCAAAGGCAAAGAGCCTCGCATTCATCACTCTGAGTAAGCAGGGGCTGCGGCCATTTGCTTGCGGTCCTTCTCCCCTAGGTCCTGACCTGCTCTCTCAATAAAAATTCACTGCATTTAAGGGAGAGGCAAGTTTGCCACCATCTCCTGTAGGTCACCATCAAGACATCAGTGCTTCTTTTAGTCTGCAAAATGTCCAGCCGACTGATTGATTCTATTACCCTTCTTTGCCTACAGCTACTGCTGTTTTATTATTCAGATATGCAGCTGGGAAGGGTGCTCCAAAGGTGTTCCCTGGGGCCTTAGGATAGCTTTCCCAGTGGCCTTTGACTCATATCCAGCTTCCGGGTTTAGATGAAGTGGGATCTGGCCATGGTACTGAGGACGATCAATTTAGGCAGGGAGATCTTGATTTGGGATAATCTAGGCCTTCGGTAAGTCTCAAAAAAAAAGTTCAGGAGCGTCAGCTTTTGAGGATTAGAAGATTGAAGTCCAAATTCTTTTCTCTGTGACTAGATTGCTGTATGACTCTGGGAGAACTGGGTCACGTCTCTCGAGCCTCAATTTCCTTATCCATAAAGGATAACAAACTTGTCTCTGAATTGTGAGAGGGCATCGAGGGGTGAAGAATGCGACATGGGCTCTGAAAATGGTGTTGCATCAAGAGCTATTTTATTTCTCCTGGCCTTAAAAAGTGTGAAACTAGTCCCCATACAGTGTGTACAGGTTTCTGTCCTGCTTTGGCAGGGCATTGACCTTGCTTGTCAAACAGCTTTCCCCAATGGCTCAATCAGAATGACTCAGTCTCTTCTCTTTGTGCCCCTCCGGAATCCTACTGTTATTTTCTTACAATGAAGTATTGTAAGATGTTTTACTTTGATTTATAATTACTTATGTGCATTTTAACCAGCTTCCTGAAGGCAGGATACCAGTAATTCAGCCAAAGTCACTATGACATAGTGATTAACAGCATGGGCTTCGGAATGAAATCTGGGCTGAGCTCCCAGCTCCACTGCTGAGTTGCTGGGTGGCCAGGCGCATCCCACTCCTCTCTGGGCCTCAGTTTTGTCGACTGTAAAATTGGAGCATAATCAGTCCCTGTTTCATATGGTTATTTGTGAAGATAAGTATAAAGTTTTAACGCAGTGCCTGGGACATCGAAAGAGCTCAATATGTGGTAGCTAACACCAGTTATTCAGGGACTGTCAGGGCTGACGGGGGCCTTGGTATTGTAGTCTAATGCACTGAGCTTACAGATAAGCCCAGAAAGTTGAACTGGCAGGTCTATGCAGACATCATGATGTGTGTTACCCTCTCTAGCCCAATAATCTACATGCTGTTCCCTTAATAGGGGGCATTTCTCTCATTCCTCTTCCCATCTTGAGAAGTCAGGGCTTTGCATTAATTTGACACACTGGCATCGAGCACCTGTTATGTGCATCGCCTCCGGTTAGATATTGGTCCTAGAAGGCCTCACTGGCTTAGTGACCCAACATGCAATGGAGAAGACAGTGGGCACTAACTGGGAATTGGTGAAAGATGGCTGTTGGCGAAGGCTGGCTGGGAAGAGCTCTTAAGAGCAAGCGGGCAGGGTGGTGCACAAGAAAAGCTGCTGACCTTGGGACCAGACAGACCTGGGTTTGAATCTTGGCATACCTATGTATTTGAAGGGGGACCTGGCCAAATCTAGGACAATTATGTAACAAAAGAAATAATGATAGTAGTGGATTATAATCCGTAAAACAAAGCAAATAAATAAACAATTAAATAAATGAGGGAGAAGAGAAAGCTCTAACATTAGAATTCTAAATAATATATATATAGAAGGGATGATGAAAATAGAAAATTACCAACTAGCAAATACCACTGTACTCATTGTTTTGGTTAAGAATTATCAATAGATGATAAAATTAGTGGGTAAAAGTTTGAAGAAAAACAAGGTATTTATATAGTCTCAAATATTACCACGATTCTTATTAATTATGAATTTTACCATGAAGAATCTCGGCAGATACCATCTTAGCCAAGAGATCAGAGTTAACATTATCAATTAATGAGACATATTAACACCATCTGCCTCCTGATGCTCTGGGAAAGGCACAGCGTTACTTCTGTTATTCTTGCCCAAAGCGTATAATCTCAGTTTAAGCGCGAAAAAACACCACACGAACCCAAATTTAAAAACACTCTATCAAAGGACTGGCAAGAATTTTACAAAGTGTCACTGTCATGAAAAAAATAGACAGGGGAACTGTCACAGACTGGAGGACAGTAAGGAGATATGACCACTAAATGCAGTGCAGAATCCTGGATTGGCTCCTGGGCCAGAAAGAGGGCGCTAATGGGAAAACTGATTCAATTTAAATAAGGTCAAGTAAATCAAATTGTATGAATGTAATTTCTTATTTGACAATTGACAATTGTGCCGTGGTTATAGAAGATGTTAATATTTTAGGAAGCTGGGTGAAAGGCTGTATAGGGAATTCTATGCATTATTTCTGCAACATTTTTTTAAGTCTGAAATTATTTCTAAACGAAAAGCTAAAAAAGAAAGAGAGAAAGAGAGAAAGGACACAGAGAGAGAAAGAAAGAAAGAAAGAAAGAAAGAGACAGTAAGGAGATATGACCACTAAATGCAGTGCAGAATCCTGGATTGGCTCCTGGGCCAGAAAGAGGGCGCTAATGGGAAAACTGATTCAATTTAAATAAGGTCAAGTAAATCAAATTGTATGAATGTAATTTCTTATTTGACAATTGACAATTGTGCCGTGGTTATAGAAGATGTTAATATTTTAGGAAGCTGGGTGAAAGGCGGTATAGGGAATTCTATGCATTATTTCTGCAACATTATTTTTTAAGTGAAAGTATTTCTAAACGAAAAGCTAAAAAAGAAAGAGAGAAAGAGAGAAAGGACAAAAAGAGAGAAAAAGAAAGAAAGAAAGAAAGAAAGAAAGAAAGAAAGAAAGAAAGAAAGAAAGAAAGAAAGAAAAAGAAAGAGAAAGAGAGAAAGAAAGGAAGAAAGAATGGGGGCCTTTGGAAAACCTCTCCTCTGAGACTCAGCTTCCTCATCTGTAGAGCAGGGCAGGAATTCCAATCTACTTCACAGCATCATGAGAATAAAATGAAATAGTGCAAAATAGCAATGTGTATGTACTGATCCTGTAAAAAGGTATTCTTGCTGTTAGTAATGGCAGCTCATGTGTCTCGATGAGATGCTTCAGCTGCTAAAACTTCAGAAGGGTTCTACCCTAATGAGAAACATCTGGCTGCAAACTACTTCTTCCCAGCCATTCGATATGACCTTGCCCAAGGAAATAATAATGCCAGCTTTGTGGCTGGATGGCTGTTGTCAAGGAGATGGCGCCAGATAGCCCAGACAGCTGGTGGTAGTGACGTCACCTCCAGGCTTGGCAGAAAGAAAGGCCATGGTGAGACAGAGACAGGGGCAAAGGGCTTCATCTCTGACCATGAAAACAGGAAAAACAACTTTCCAAATAGCCTATCCTTTGTATGATTGATTCTATTTTTAGTTTTCAGGTTCACTAAAGGGTTTAGCACATAATCCAGAAAGATGGCCATTTGCTGAATGAGGCAATGGATTAATCATAAGGAGAACTCACAGGCTCTTATTTCTTTATAGTTTCCAAAGTATCTAATTAGATAATGCAACCATGTGAGCTCAGCATTGTCTGCTCCAGGAGCAAGGAGAAGGGATTCTAGGTCACAGGGTAAGTCAGAGGACTTCCCAGAGGCAGAATCAGGTGCCCAGACTTCCAGTCCTGCAATCGTCCTGCCCACACTAAGATTCACCTCTTGGCCACCATGAAGCAGTTGTCCAAGGAGTAGAACCTGGTGAACACATCCCTGAAATACTGTTGTCTGGATGCAGGCCTCACCTCTCTTAATCCTAAATTCTAAAGTGGACAAAAAAGAAACGAATAAGGAAGACAGGCTGTCTGAAACAATTAGGGCTTTGTAGTTCAGAGGGACCTGAGCTCAAATCCCAGCTCCGCCACTTACCAGCTGTGAGATCTTGAGAAAGTTATTTTTACCTCTTTCAGCCTCAGTCTTCTCATCTGTAAGTGAAATGGGCATAATAGTAGCACCTACTCCGGAGGGCTGTTGTGAGGGTTAAATGAGGTGGTGCATGTGATATGCCCGGTACAAGTGGCACATAAGAGATGCTCAGAACTTGTAAAGTCCTCTTCATTGTTTCCTTTCTCAAGAGCTTTCATCTGCCGGATGGAAAGTTAGTTCCTTCATTTGGGAACTGATGATTTGCACTCAGCCTCCCTCTACCAGAACAGAGTTGGTTGTGCATTAGTAGCTTTAAAATACATACAAAGAAATCACCTTGAGAGCTATGAGGTCCTGAGCCATCCGTCTAGTCCAAACCTGTTATTTTACAGACGTAGAAACTGAGGACCAGGGAAGAGGAAAGGTCAGCCGAAGGTCACAGAGAGAGGGAAGCCCAACCAGGGTGAGAATCCTGATACCCCAGCTTCCCTGCTACTGGATACACTCATCTCTTTCCTGGGGCAGGGCATGTGGAGTGCTAACTGGTTCCCATGCTCTCTCTCAGGCTGTTATTTTATTGCTGATTCTGGGGGTGTTTGAAGATGTGGTGAAGGAAGAGGGACAGGAGCAGACCATGAGCTTTGTAGGTTTCGCTCAGGGGTGTGTGTGTGTGTGTGGGGTGGGGTGGGGTGTGGGAAGCGAAAAGGTTGGGGTAGATATGGAGAGAGAATGGGATTTATGGGATTACCATTGATTAACTGACATTATCTCAGGTCATCGCAAAAACCTTGCAGGATAGGTTTTAGCCCCATTTTCCAGATTGATTTAATCTTTCATTCAATACATAGTTTTAAACACCTGCTGGATGGCAGGCATGGTGCTGGGTGTTGGAGGAGATAGCAGGAAACAATTCAGAACACAGTCTCTGCCCTTACGGAGGAAAACGTTAAAAAGAAACCCACATAAGTCTATACTTGCAAAATGTGGTAAGTGCCACAAAGGAAAAACACGTTGCTAAGAATATAAGAAAGATTATATCTAGATTAGAGAATTAGAGAAAGCCTCTTTTGGAAAGAGGCCTTAAATTGAAGAGGAATGAGGAAACTGAGGCTGAGGGTGGACTTACACATAATTACAGGGAAGGTTACCATCCATCCACTTACCCATCTTTTCAAGTTATTTTCATCCAGGACTCTCCAGACGGCCTGCAGAGGAATGTAGCAACTTTGAGATGGGAAGATGAAGGTTGAGTTTACTGGCCAAGCTCTGCACCATATCATCCAGGTGTTTGACGATGGCTCTGTGCTTGAAGAAAAGCAGCCAGGGTTATGCAGAGAGTCCTGATGTAGCTGGCAGGGCCAGTGGATTTGGCTCCAGTTCACAGATTTACTGTGCGTGACTTGAGGCAAGTCACTTCCTTTCTCTGTGCTTCCCAGTTTACTGACCTCAGGTGCATTTGAACCCTAAAGGTAATAACAAATCACTAGGCGAGAGATCGGAGAGTAAGTGCCGCTGACCACTGGCTCATAGGAACGAGCTTATTTGTTTCAAACTAAGTGTGCAAATTGCTACTTGAGTTAGGATTGTACAGGTAGGATTCTTCTAAAGCGAGGAGGCACCCGATTATCTGAGTTTCAATTCAAAGCGGAAGCCTTTTGGAAAGGCAGACTCGAAGGTTCGGGGTCATTATTCTAGCAAAGCACATACCAGTTTATGAACTCGGAGTGTCCAAGAGGAGCTGGATTCCCAGCTCCCGCTTAAATTAACGGACCAAGGCCAGCTTTCGCCCTTAACAAAGATGGCGCCCGCGCAGGCCTCGGCCTGAATGCCCTCACAAAAAATGGCAACCTGCCCCTCTTTCCTTAGTCTTGCTGGCCCAAGTGCGGAGGCTCTGCCCTTAGTTAAGATGGCGCCCGCCCGCGCTCCCTGCCCGGCTTCGGGGCCCAGCCGGTCGACTTCACTGCACGCGCCTCAGTGATCCCGCCTCGTTTCCGTAGGAAGAAGCGCCGGGAAACATGGCGGTGGCTGCGGTTTGAATTCCAGCGGCGCCGCCAGAGTCCGAACAAGAGCTGGATTGGAGGGGGCGGGGACCTGGAGATCCGGACGGATAGCGATCGCGGGGGAACGAGCGGTGCCGCCACCACGGACATCAATGCTTCCACCTCCTCTGTGTCCATGATGGAGTCGGTGTTGGAAGAGGACGTCACCCTCCCCGGGACTCTCAGCGGCTGCAGGTGCGGCCCGGGTTTTGGGGGTTCCACTGGAGACTTGGGGTTTGCTCTTGAGGGTGTTTGAGGGTTTTCGGACAAGGGCGGTGTATGGGGTGTGTATCTTGGGGGAGAGTCTCTTTGGGGACCCACCAGCCGATACTGAGTGTGGGAGACCCGGGGGTCCCCGCCCGCACCACACCCTCCTCTTGTATTTCGGGACGTACTTGGAAGAGGATATGAGGGACAGGTAAGGGGTTTTCCGAAAGAGCGGGAAGAGGGGGACCTCTTGGAGTGTGCCATTAATGGGGGCTGGTTTAGGGCCGGTTCCTTGAGGGTACTTGATGGTTCATTCTGGTTTAGGGCTTTGCTTTCTTATGGGGAGTGAGGTTGGTTTGTCCAGACTTTACTTACGGGGTCACGTAGTGGCCACCAAGACTGAAGCAATGGAGGGCAGTGGTTAAGAACCTTGGCTGGAGTTGAACAGACTTAGATTCAAATTCAGTCTTTAACTAGCTGTGTGACCTTGGTAGAGTAACTCAACTTGTTTTCCCTTCCGTAAAGTGGGGCGGGTAGTAATATCCACCTAACAGAGTTGGGGTGAGGATTAGAGGAGAGGGTGGTGCCCAGCAAATTTGCTTAGCAGGTGTAGTGCCTGACACATAATCAGTACCTAAAGAATAATTGTGTTGCCACTACCACCATCCTCATCAGTAGTAATACAGATTGGGGAATAATGACCGAGAGTGGCCTCTTAATGGACTTGTCCCAGGAGGCATGTGGGTTCTCTCCTGCTAGGAAGGCCTGACAGAGCTTTGCACTGCTTCAGGGCTGGGGTCCTTTGGTTGTGGGGCTCCTGGTTGGACAGTGGGTAGAAGGATGCAGAGAGCCTGACTGAGAATCTGCATGTTTTTCCAGGTCTGCTAGGGACAGGCTGCTGCTTTTAGTCAATAGACCCTAATTGAAAAGGTGACCATATTATTTGTTGGGCAAACCTGGACACTTTTAAGGGCGAAATGGGCACAATTAATATTTACATCTGGGCAGCAGGTATACCCAGGTCCAATCTTGGACAAACCTGGACAAATGGTTACTTTGTTTATTGAGAACCTACTATGTGTAAGGCAGAGCAAGGCCCCTTGCAGCTTCTGCCTAATTGGTAGTTCATTATGTCCCTTTCTCTTCATCTTACTATAACTACCCCAATATATTGGGGTACGACCTCTCACCTGGATTGTCCTATTTTCCTTCATGCCTCATAGCCCTTTATACTGCAGCTTGAAAGCTCTTTCTAAAGTGTAAATCTGATCATCACAGTCTGCTGCTTTGTATGTTTAATGCTTCTTATTGCCATGAAGATAAAGTCCATTATTCTCCATTATTACTCTCTCAGATAGCTTTTCTCATCTCAGTGCTAGTTGGCCAGATCTAGCTGAATTTCAATCTCAATTTCTGCCATTTAACAATCCTGAGACCTTAGACATGTCACTTACCCTCTGTGAGCCTCAGTTTTTGTCATCTGTAAAGCGAGTGAGTCCAAAAGGGTTTAGCCCAGTGTCTGACTCAGAGGAGCAACTCAACAGATGATCAGGTATTCTCCTTACCTCCTCCCCCTGACTTTGCAGGACTCAAGGGCTACGTTCCTGGCAGCTAATCTCTTACCCGCTTCAGACCCTCCCAGGCTCCTTTCCACATTCAGGATGAAGTTCTTGAATATGGCTTCCAAGTTCTTCCCTGATCTGACCCCTTCTACTTTACAGCCTCCTTTGTCTTTCCTTTCCCTACCCTGTCTTCTCCCTAAGCTCTTCCCTCTGCCCGGCTGCCAAACTCTTTGTCATGAAGGATCTTGCCTTGTTACTGCTTGGCCTATGTACTCGCTGTTGCTGCTGCCTGGATTGGGATGAAGTTCTTGAATATGGCTTCCAAGTTCTTTCCTGATCTGATCCCATCTACTTTACAGCCTCCTTTGTCTTTCCTTCCCCTACCCTGTCTTCTCCCTAAGCTCTTCCCTCTGCCCGGCTGCCAAACTCTTTGTCATGAAGGATCTTGCCTTGTTACTGCTTGGCCTATGTACTCGCTGTTGCTGCTGCCTGGATTGCCTTCCCTTTGCCCCCTTTCCCATATTAATGTCTATTATTTTTCAGGTCTTAGTTTAAATGTCACTGCAAGGAAGCCTTCACTGACATCCCCCACCCCCAGGTGGGTCCTGTGTACTCTTCTAGCCACCTTACCCATCACTGAACCTATCTCAGCCCTTGTTCACCTCATTGAATTTTATTGGTTAGTGTCGTCCAACAGAAATACAACTTGAGGGACATATGAATTTAAAATTTTCTAGTAGTCACATTAAAAAAGTAAAAGGAAACAGGTGAAATTAATTTCCATAATGTATTTTATTTAACTCATTTCCAAATATTATCATTCTAACTTGTAAACAAAAATTATTTATGAGATATTTTATTCTTTTTTATCTTACTGAGTCTTTGAAGTCCAGTACCTATTTCACACTTGCAGCACTTCTCAGCTTGGATTAACCACATGTCAGGTGCCCAGATGGTCCATGTGGCCGATGACTCCTGTATTATTGGACTGTGCAGGTATGCTGTTAACTTGTCTGTCGCCTAGGTTAGACTGTGACTTATTTGAGAGCAAGAGCTGCATTTTAATCTTGGTAGCCCGAGTTCCTGACCTGCTATCTGGCTCATAAATGGGGCTCAGTAGCTGTTTGTTAAAACACTGAATAAACAATGATCTTTTGAGGTGATAGTATTATCCCCTTTTTACAGGTGAGGGCATTGAGGCTCAGAGAGGTGAACAAAGTCTAGGATCCACAAAAAGTACATGACCGAGCCAGGATTTAAATCCAGGCCTACTGATCCAAAGCCTGAATCTCATACCCTGTCCTACTAGTTCTCTGAACCTGTTCCGAGAGGGTTTCACGGAGCTGCTGGGACTTGAACTGGACCTTAACGCCTGGCAGAGATGTCCCGAGAGACGGTTCTCCATTCTGTGGTCACAGTGGAAGAGGAAAACCCCTAGAATAAAATCACTTTGTCTTCTGCTACCATGAGCACTCTTCTGCTTGGTAATTTCCAAGCCCCAGTTTTAGAGACTAACCAGTTTGTCCTCAGACTTTTGTTGAATTAGGTCAGCGTGCATCACTCTCTCCAAACCTGATCACTTTGGAGTGCCCCAGAGATCTCCAACCCTGTGAAATGCAGGTCTGGATTCCTGCCCCAAGAACCTTGCCCAAGCTACCGCCCTTCGTTAAGCCCTGCCTGGTGGTGTCCAAAGAATCTGGGCTTTGTACTCGGGATGACTAGGTATGAAGCCTGCTTCAGCTAGTTACTAGATGTATTGCTTGAGTAACTCACTTAACCCTTCTGAGGCTCTTTCTCTTGGGAGCGATAATATCTATTTTATTGGGTGTCTGGATGAAGCAAGATTGAATGTATTAAGTGCCTGGCACCTTCTGGGGAGTGCATTAAATTTCAGCTATTTTTGCTATATTGTTACCATGTTGCACTTTTTGCCGCTCCCTAATTTAGCTCCCTAAGACATGTACCCAGCTTGTTCATCTGTATAGGATCCTCTGTTACATGGCCATTAAGTGCTTGCTCTCTGCCTAGGGGCAGACCGAAAAAGAAATGTTTTCCTGTAAGTTTGTAATTTCCTAAGAGTTTGTACACAGTTTATTTATGCTTTCTCAGGCAAAGCATGCCTTCAGGAATTTTGTAGGAGGAGGTGAGAAAGAGGATGACCTTGGATCAAGGGGTACCCCTTGGCTGTGACTTTGGATCAGGGGTACCTCTCGTCATTGGTGTGAGCTCAGTGAGGGCAGGGAGCACATCTGGCTTGTTACTCAGTATATTTTTAGACCTAGGACCTTGTCTGGCACATAGTAGAGGCTCAATAAATATCTGTGGAATCTATCAATTTTGTTCAGTCTCTCTTTGAAAAGATAAACATAGGCTCCATATTTAGTAGGGAAATGCTGCTTCATAATCATGGAAATAATGCACACTCAGTCTCAACTGGTACAGTCTTTCTGGAACACAATTTGGCATTATCTATTAACATTAAAAATATACCTGCAGGTTTTTTTTCTTTAAATAACTTTATTGAAATATAATTTATATGCCGTTAGGTTCACCCATGTAAAATATACTATTTAATGATTTTTTAGTATATTTACAAAGTTACGCAACCATCACCATAATCTAATTTTAGAACATTTTTATCATTCAAAAAAATGTGCCCAATAGCAGTCGCGCCCTGTCTCAGTCAGTTTGGGCTGCTCTAACAAAAGAACCACAGACTGGGTGACTTAATAGACAACAGAAATTGATTTCTCACCGGTTTAGAGGGCTGGAAGTCCAAGATCAGGGTGCCAGATTGTTCGGGTTCTGGCCAGACCCTTACCTAGGTTGCAGACTGCTGACCTCTCGTTGTACCCTCATGTGGAAGAGAGTAGAGGGAGGAAGCAAGCGCTCTCAGCTCTTATAAGACGGTTAATCTCATCATGACCTCATCTCATCCTCATTACCTCCCCAAAGCTCCGCCTCCTAATACCATCACGCGGAGAGGGTAGGATTTCAGAACGTGAGGTTTGTGGGGACACAAACATTCCGTCCAAAACACTTCTCATTCTCCTTCCCGCATCGCAGTCCTGGGCAACCACAGTCTGCTTTTCGTCTACAGAATTGCCCATTCTGGACATTTCCTATAGATGGGATCTTACAGCATGTCTTTTGGGAGGTTCATCTATGTTGTAGCATGTATCAGTACTTCATTCCTTTTTATGGCTGAATAATAGCTCATTATATACATGTTCCACATTTTGTTCATTTATTCATTGGTTGATGACATTTGGGTTATTTCTACTTGCTTAGCTAGTACGAATAATGTTGCCTCTTGCCATGAACATTTATTTGTATGCAGGTTTTTATATGGACATATGCTTTCACTTCACTTTGAGTGTATACCTGGGAGTGGAATTGCTGGGTCAGATGGTAATACTTCGTTTACTGTCCAACTCTTTTCCAAAGTAGCTACATCATTTTATACGCTCATCAGCAGTGTGCGAGGGTTCTATTTCTCCATAGCCTCGCCAACACGTGCTATTGTCTGTCTTTTGGATTATAGCCAGTCATCCTTGGAGATATGACATGGTATCTCTTTTGGTATTGATTTGCATTTCCCTAATGACTGATGATGTTGAGCATTTTTTCTTGTGCTTATTAGCTATTTGTATATTTTGAAATTCTTTGCCCATCAAAAAAATGTGACTGTGTTTTGACTCAGCAATTCTCGATATCTGTCCTCGAGAAATCCTCATACCAACGAGGCCGTATGAGGATATTTATGCAGCATTGTTTGTAAAAGGAAGAACTTGGAAGGAAATTGAATTACCTCAGGGTGTTGGGTAAATACAGATCCTTTCAAAAGTGTCTTTCAGACTGTTACCCATTGGCAGCTCATGAAATTCAATTTAGTCAGTTGCATCCAGATTTTTAAAAAATGGAATAGAAGAGAATAGAAAACATTTCAAGAATTAAGCATAACATCTTTCCTTCTGTGGATTATGGGCAATAAAGTTTGAAAAGTAGTGCTGTAGAATGCTTTGGAGGAGTTAAAAACATTGAGGCAGATCTATTTGTGCTGTCATGAAAACACCTTTAGGACACATTAAGTGAAGAAAAGATGCGGCAGAATAACATAAACAGTTTGATTGCATTTATTTTTAAGCCACAAAATAAAACTATGTCTTTATGTATGTAAATACATAGAAGAAGTTCTGGAAGGCTACATATCTTGCTGATAACAGTGGTTACCTCTTAAGATGGGAGTGAGGAGTAGTCAAAGAGAGCTGTAGGCTTATCTATATTTTTGTGTTTATATATTTATTATCTAAGGATAAATAACATAGAATGACCAGTGAATTGTTGAAAGACAAACTAAACTTGTTGGTGTAATTGTTTTCTGAATGTGATGTCCAGTCCCAGCCACGGCTCTCATAGCACTTTACCAGTGAGGCGCTTAGGCCTTGTTGGGCCTGTGATGTGAATGTACATGCAGAAAGAGATCGCTCCATCTGAGTGGCTGGAGAGCAAGGTAGGAGGATGAGGTGGGGAAGCTCAGGTGAGTGTCCGTTCGTTTACTCAACCCAGACTTTGTTACTCGACAAACAGTAGCTGCAATGGCTCTGCTCTGTGTCGAGCAAGCCCTGGAGATCCTCTGCCTCGGTTCTTCCGGACCTCGCCACAGCCCCCTTGAGGAGGGTATTAGGGGCACCAGGGCGATGTGGAGGCTAAGAACGTGGGCTCTGAAATCAGGCCAGCTTGGGTTTTGTAGCTTATTAGCTGTTCTGGGCCTCTGCTTTCTCATTTTAAGAAATGGCAACATTTAAAAAAAACTACCACCTACCACAGAAGGGCTGTGGCGAGCTTTCAATGGGAGGCTGCTCGTCCTGTCCTGAGTGATGCCGGCTCAGCGTGGGTGCCCCACAGAGTGGGCTTGTTAACGATTATGCCGTTTTTTGCCGAATTTTGGTCTCAGCTTTGCCACAAACATTTTGTGATTTTTGAGCAGATAAGTTCCTTTCCCTTTCTGGGCCTTAGTTTTCCCCATCTATACCATGATAAAACCATAGCTAAGCCCTCGTCCTTTGCTTGCATAGTTTTGATTTCTCATGGGGCTCCACGAAGCCCCAGCTTTAGTTCTTAGGCTAAAATGAGTGATCAGAATGGGAAGAGGGAGCTACCTAGAGTTGGAGGGGTGGCGGGAACTGAGTGCAGTGTGCAGATGGCAGATTCATAGCCTTTTAAAGATGGGTAGGTAAAGCCCAAGTGGAAATTTGGCAGGAACCAGATAGGAATTTCTGCATGACATAATGGTTTCTTCTAAGATTTGGGATGTCAAATTCATTTTTCTTTTCTTTTTTTTTTAAATTTTTTATGTTCTTTTTAGGTGAGGCAACCCTTGGTTGACCTCACATATTACAAGGACCTTGTCAGTTTATAATCCCTTATTTTTAAATTTTTTACGCCTATAGCACCTGGTCTTCCTAGGTGGTCTCCCATCCAGGTACTAACCAGGCCCAACCCTGCTTAACTTCCAAGATCAGATGGGATTGGGCTTGTTCAGAGTGGCGTGGCCGTAGACTCAAATTCATTTTTCAAACTGCTGTTTGCCTATTGGAAACTTGTCTAAGACCAGATTCTTTGGCTTTGCCTGCCAGGTAGTTTTCAACCACGATTGATCTTGGCTTAAGTAATTGATGGGCCGTTTTAGCCAGTGAGAGTAATTCAATGGCCGTGGTGGGGAGAACCGCAGATTAGAAATGGAGAGACTAGACTGTGGGCGAAGCTTGACCCATCACCTGGTGTGTGCCCTCGGGCCTCTGGGTCACCATCTGCAAAAGGTGGTGGTTGAACTTGATTTTAATTTTTAAAATTCAGTTTAGAAAATGGAGTTTGTCCTTCTGTGATGCTTATTGGAGGAAAATGAGAATTATAGAAAATTCAAATGGAGGAAAATACCTCTTATTTTCCTACAAATAATGATTTTTAATATTTTCTTTGTCTCATTATGTATTTATAGCCGACTTCCCGGAAGGATTTGAGGTATATATGTATTTTTTTCATAATTGAGGATATAGTCTACTTAAGTTTTTTTTCCAGCTATTTTTATAGCAGACATTTTATGTAATCATTCTCTTGATGTTGGAATTTTATGTTATCCAATTTTTTCTTGGCCTTTGTCTTAGAGGTGCATTCCAACTTTAAAGTTTGGTGATCAGGCAAAATTATCTCAGGAGCCGAGTGGACAAACAGCCAAGAGGTCGGGCTTAGCTTCCATCATCAACTTCTAGTTTACAGCTTGGGACAGGAAAGCATCACTGGGGTTTAGGCATGAAGGGCTCGGATTCTGGACTTTGTTCTCCACTTAACTATCATGTGACACTGGCTAAGTCACTGAAATTATCTGAGTCTTAGTGCCTTCCTTTGAAACATGCATGGATGCTCAGGGAATTGGGTAGCGCTCATGATGGTAAATCCTGTATAAATTATAAAGCACTATATGTTTCAAGTCGACAGTGATATTTTGCTCCCATTTATGGGTACCCACAATATGCCAGGGACCTTGCCGGATGCTTTGTGTCTTGTTTAATTGCCAGTTAACTCTGCGAAGTAGCTGCTCTTCTCTTTTCACAGATGAAGGAAGCAAAGCTTGGAGAGGTATGTGGCAAATCTTAGAACAGAGTCCAGGGTGATGTCTTTTGTGTTGAACCACACCTCCTATTATGGTTTAGTTTTCTGTCGATGTCACCAGATCTTCCCTGAACCTGTTTTTATAATTCACCTAGTAAAACTTCTTGGATCAGTGAATTTTACATTTTTGTTTGACGTTCTTAAAGCATCTGAATTGGTGCCTGATTCTTGGAAGCTTAATGTTTGGTTGTGATAGGCATTTTAGTAATCCTAATGGCAAAAACAATAGATGTTACTTATTGAGCGTTTACTATGTACTAAGCGTTTATTTACATTAACTCATTTAATCTTTACAGCTAGAGGGTGGTATCCCCTTGTAACAGATTAAGAAATTGAGACTCAGAAACTTAAGTGGCTTATATCCGGCACAGCGCCTCTGCACCTACCACATATGTAGCACACAGAACACTTGATGCGTGAGTGCATGAGTGGAATGAATGAATGACCAGCCTTACTGGAGGTCACTCAGCTGTTAAGTGTTAGAGCCAAAGTTCAGCCTTAACCTCCGCACTGCGTACCTCCCAGGTGGCTCAGCTCTCTGTCCCTTCTTTGGCCAAGGCCTCGTGGTCGTCATGTGCAGTCTTGGCAGTCTTAATAGCCTGTTGTTTAAATGCTAACTCATCTCTTGTACACATGTTCTCTCCTAGTGGCCTTGTCCCCAAGTTACCAGATGACCTGGATGGCATCAGCCCCATCGCTGGTTTGGGAAATGGTGGTAAGTATACACAGCCGAGTGTTGTCTTGAGTAAGAACAAGGGAAGTAGACACCAGACCATGAGGGCCTGAGGCCTTGAGCCTGGAACTGGGTTCTGACGCCTCTGGGCCCAGAACCTGCCCTGGCCTGGCTAGTTGCTCGCAGTAGGTGCTCGGTATTTTATACATATATTTTATACATATATTCACGTCCTTTCATAAACACTGGAGTAGAGGAATTGATGTCCTGTAGGCCATATTTCTTGCTGCCAAGCTTGTAGGGATTCAGTCAGTGAACCGAATGACTGCATGGAGGCTGAACGTCAAATTGGTGACTAGGTGAGGCACGGAGGGCCTGCTGAGTGGCTGGAGGCTCAGCGGAGCTGCTGTCTGTACTTGCATGTCTCACGGCCTTCCTGGCTGGCTGCAGGGTTCCATTTGCTGGCTGAGGCGCAGCATTCCTACACAGTCCTGCCCTTCGCCAACAAAGAGCTGGTTAGACCACAGGAGACGGCGCTGAGTAAATAAGCAGTCTATTGTGGTTAATCTGGGTGATGGGGGGACTTCTGCTTTGCAGTGTGGGGTTTGCTAAGCATTCTTCATGATTTTTGTTTCTGAAAATAGTGAAAGGCACCATAAGTATCAGTGGGAAGTGCTAATAATTTGACTTGTTGAAATATCTTAGAGATATTTTGATTTGTGTTTTTCCCTCTACTCCAAAGTGATGATATGTGTGCAAACGGAAGAAGTTTTTAGAGCAGATAATGTAAGTGTCACAAGGTTTCTTTCTGGAGAAAACTTTAGCTTGCAGGCCACTCTCAGGTTTGCCTTGAGAACATCTTAACTTTTAACACAAAACCCAGCAATGAGACCCTTCATTTGTAACCAGACGAAATCCACACTATGCAAAAACAGCAATTCTGGTTTCTACTCTTCTCGCCCACAGGCGATTAGAAGCAGAACACAGGTAGCCTGCTCCTTAATTCAGCCCACGTGTTCGTCTGCTTCATGCCAGGCTCTGGGCCGAGCACTGGGAATAGCCTTGAACAGGTTACGGTCAAGCTGAGAAGAGAGTTCAACAAAGAATTATTATGCTCGGTCGTCTGATGAATGTCGGAGGGAAGGAGTAAAGGTGCTGTGAGGTGGAGAAGAGGGAGCTTGACCCTGGGGAACAGAGGAGATGGGTCAGGCCAGTTTCCCAAGAAACTGATACTGGCGCCACGACTTAGAGAATGAATAGGACCTAGATAGGGCCACACACACGGGTGACAGAGCGTGTCCCGTCTGGGGAACAGGGCTGGCGCCCAGGGCTCTTCACGGTCACCCCGCCCCACCCCCCGAACGTCTGCTCTGTGGGATGGTCTCAGAGCACCGTGTCCGCTTCACCTCTGGGCCTGTGCACGGCAGTTCCTTCTTCCTTTTGCCCCGTCCCTCGTCTGCCTGCCGCCTTGCGAAGGCTCGGCTCAGGGCTCACTGCCTTCGTTTCTCCTCAGGCTGACTTAGGTGTGCTGTCTCTCTGAGCCTCATGGATTTCAGTTTGCTTATTCCTGTTGGCTACTTAAAAAAAACCCAGAATGGATCCAGTTCTGAATCACTCATACCCCTGCCGCCCTGGTCTGGGCACCGTGCCCCTGGCCTGGGTGATCCCGGTGTTCTCCTGTCTCCTCGTTCCTGAGCGCCCTCCAGTCTTTCCTCAGCGAGGCAGCAGAGGGAGCCTGCAGGAACCGAAGTCGTTGATGTTGCTCCCCCCGCTCCGTGTGTTCTGTGGGCTCCTTGGGCTCCTCGGGGTCCTGTGAAGAGCCTGCAGAGCCATGCACAGCCCGTCCCCCGGCAGCTGGCTTACCTCCTCGTCCGTCCCCTTTGTTTACTGCCCTCCAGTCCATCGGCATCACGGCTGGTCCTCAGATCCACCGGACATGCTCCTACCTCAGGCTTCTCCCTTTGCCCTGTATTGTCAAGTCTGCCAGATGCCACCTCAGTGAGACCTTCCGTAATTTAACCACTTTCCTTAAAATTGCAGTCCACACCCCACCTTTGGTATGTCCTATCCTTATCTGCTTTATTTTTCTCTATAGCATTTATCATGTTTTAACACACTATATAATTGCCCTATTATTTTATTGTCTGTCTCCTCTTTCTGGAATATCGGTTCCATTTATTTGTTTCGTTTCCTGATGTAGCCACATCTAGAATGATGCCTAGCAGAGAAGAAGCACTTCGTGGATATTTGTTGGAAGAATGCTTTCATTCACTCAACACGCATTTACTCAACACCTAAAAAGTGCTATATGCCCTTTGTGCAGCCCAAGTTTGTTTCCGCCTCTGGCCTGCGACATGGGGGACCTTGGGTGCAGGATCAGTGTCTCCTTCACCGTTGTTTCTTCAGCACCTCACGTGGTGCTTGGCACAGAGTGAGGGGTGTGATAAACATTTGCCGAATTAAAGAAGCTGTGGAAAAATTTGGGTTTTGGTAAAGTCTTTAATTATTCCGAAGCAGGGCTGGGCAGTTTCGGACTCACCGCTTGCTTTTGAAAGTAAGCATTTTTGGGAACACGGCTTCTTTGTTTATGAATTGGCTGCGGCTGTTTTTTGTGCTACAACAGAAGCGTTAGTGATATACTTGGAACAGAGTCTAGGCTTTACGTGTAGCCTGCAAAGCCTGAAGTATTTATAATCTTGTGTCTTAAGAAAAAGTTTGCCAGCCCCTGCTCGTAAGTTGGTTAGACTTGCTTTGTTGTAATTGCTGACATGTGAAGGTGATATCCTGGTCAGCAAAACAGTCTTATTACAAGCAGTAAGGAAGTACGTGTCAGGACCATCTGCTTTGTGTCATGCCCAGTACATCTTCTGAGTTCATGCTCTGTCTGACACACACATTATTACATCGGGGCTGGGGTAAGTAATTTGTCAATATTTGAAATCTAATGGTTTAGAGCTTTCCTTAGACTCAAATCAGTAAATCATGACAGACAGGAAGTACCAGCAGGACATGCTGTGGAAGCTCTTCACATTGTTTTTGTCTCTGGGTTCTATTCCCTAATAGGGATGCTGGGCAATTTGCATACCATGATGTTTTCTCTATTTTACCTTTTTTATAGTGCTCCCAAATGTGTCAGAAGAAACGGTGTCTCCCACCAGAGCCCGGAACATGAAGGACTTTGAAAATGTAAGTGGAGATACCAAGGTCTTATCCCTAGGAAATCACGTCTGCTGCCGCTGTCTAAGCGGACTCAGGAGGGAGCTGTGTTTAAGAAGCGTCTAAGCCGGATAATGCCAGAGTTGGGGGGAATGCTGCGTCTCGTGGGCATCGTCTCTGTGACCGTCCATACCCACGCGGTCGGGCCCTTTATATGTGGACCAGTCATAAGGATCAGCAGTTTCCCGCTTGGGGAGGATGGTGCATTTCTGGTGTCTCGAATGTGCGGATGTCAGCATGCCGCACAGTTGAGAGGCGCTCGTATTTGTCAAGGGCTTTCCTGAATGTCGGGCGCCTTATTTATGGTCCCCATTTAATCTTTGCTGCAACTCTATGAGGTATTGTGTATTATCCCAATTTACAGATAAGGCATCTCATCATTCTTAAGTGGCAGAGCTGGGATTCGAATCCAGGTTTTTAATGGCTCCAAAGCCATTATTCTTTCCACCACATTGGGCCGACTCCTTGCATTTCGTAGACTTCGTCTTCGTTGCTCTTGAGCGAAACGTGAGCAGCCTGGACCCGGTGCTGTGTGGTGCTGGTCTGAGAATGGGTTATTTGGGGGATAGATTTGGCTTCTGTGCTTCATGTCTTCCGGCACTGTGTCTTTCATTTGTTAGTGGAGGAGGTTTGTTGTCAAGTAACAGGAAAATAAGGTTATTTTCCAAATTCCAATTCTCCTTAACAAGTTACCTGTTCAGTGCTTTCATTTATCATGGGAGGAATTAGACCCTTCATTTGTAACCAAATGAAATCCATACTATGCAAGACACGGGAGATATTTATCAGAGGGAAGATGGAGGACACAGAGAGAAGGACGTTCCACAATTATGTTTCTCTCTCCCCAGTTGTCTTTACAGAATAGAGCAGTACCGTCTCTGGATTTAATTTAGAATACTCATTACTGCTAATAGTTATCTGCAAACCACCAGTGGCCAATTGAAGAAATGACTTGTCAGATCTCTAATGGAAACAAGTAATTTCTGAGCTTTGAGTTGTTATAATTTCAACTGTACAACTTGATCTATGCTGTGGGGTCTCAGGCCTCAAATGAATGAGATTTGATTATTTTACATCGTGTATAATTAAAATGTGCTGTACTATTAAATGGTTGTTCCTGTTTTATCATAAGTGTAATAATAGTTACTTCTTATTGAGCTCTTGCTCTGAGTTGGGCATTTTAAGTGTTAGGCTCCTCATATACATTACATTAATATTAAAGCAGCTCTCCAAGATACAGAGTTATTTAATTTACGAGGAGAATAGTTTTGAATTTGATTTCTAGATGGAAAGTTTAATAGAATCTTAGACTTTTAGTTTCACATTGTATTGTCTGCCTTTGAACTGGGAGGAATCCTAGAGTTGAATCCAACCGTCTGTGGGAGAAACTGAGGGCCAGGGATGCGATGTGGCAAAGGGAGTTGAATCCAACCGTCTGTGTTACACGTAGGAGAAACTGAGGGCCAGGGATGCGATGTGGCAAAGCCATTCTCACGTAGGAGAAACTGAGGGCCAGGGATGCGATGTGGCAAAGCCATTCTCAGAGATGTCTGTGTTGCCCCAGGACCACAGCTCTGGGGCCAGACTGCCAGCTCTTCCACTTCCGCTGGGTGACCTTGGGCCAGTCACTTAACCTTTCCGTACTTTCCTTTCTCGGAAATCGGCATGACGATGATTTCTACTTCATAGTGCTGTTGTGAGGACTAAACGAGAGAATTGATGTGAAGCCCATACATCCTAGAGGGTCCATTTTGTGTGTCAGCTGTTACTTGTCCTTATTGTCATTGGTATAGTTATTATTGTCATTTTTTTCCTACTCTTCAAGTGATTTAAGTTTCCCTTGCTCAGACGTGTTCTTGATGACCTAACTACTATTTTTCTTAAAGGCAAGGGAGAGCCTTCTATGCCAATATGTTTTAGGATTTATGTTTTTTCTTTATGACTATGGTCCTTTGGCTACTGTTAGGTTTTTATGGCATTAATATTTTTTACTGTAGCATTTTCAAGGCCAAATTCTGGAGTCGAAATTGAAGTGACCACACTGTTCTCAGTGTCTCCCTTTTAAGTCTTTATAAGTCACTGAATATTTTCATCTAGCCTGAGCTACCAAATGCATGATTTCTATTTCTGTGTTGAGGTAGTCTGAACTTTCTGTGGGATGCTTTTTAGGAACTGCTCTTGGCATCTAATGCTAATTTTAAAGTTAACATGCATATTGAAGAGAAGGCTGGAATACTTTTTTTTTTTAGGCGAGGCAACCCTTGGTTGACCTCACAGATTGCAAGGACCTCATCAGTTTACAATCCCTTGTTTTTTTATTTTTTTACTTCTACAGCACCTGGTCTTCCTAGGTGGTCTCCCATCCAAGTACTAACCAGGCCCGACCCTGCTTAGCTTCCGAGATGGACGGGATCAGGCTTGTTCAGGGTGGCATGGCCGTAGATGAGGCTGGAATACTTTTGATTTAAAGGAGAAACTTATGATTCCTCTTACTGTAGTCTCAGATGATGGATATCTGAACATTAGGGTCTCTTAGCTGGGGTCTAGCAAGACACTAGCCTAGGTCTCCTTTTGGTTTTCTTGGAGTTCATTCATTCATTAATAAATATTTTAAAATATATACCCTGTGCCAGACTGTGTCAGGGGCTGGGGAATTTGCAGTGAATAACCAGATACGTCTCCCTGTCAAGAGGCTCACACTCTGGGGAGATGGATAGGAAAATAGTGCAATGATAGAGGTGAGTATAGGGTGCTGTGAATCCTGGCCTGGGGGATTCAGGGAAGCCTCCCTGGAGGAAGTGTTTCTTGAGTTGGGCCATTAGGGACAGGGAGGGATTGGCCAAGAGGAGAGAACTGGGAGAGCATGCCAGGTACAAGGACTCACATGTGCACATGTCGAGAGAGGCGTAATGGGGTGTGGTGAGGCTGGGGAATTGTGAGTTCCCTTTGGCTGGAGGGAGACTGTGTGCGGGGGCCTGAGAGTGGTGAGGCCATAGAAGTAGGCAGGGGTCAGTTCCTGCAGGAGCTTGTATGTTATGCTGCTTTGTTTGAGTTTGTCCTGAAGGTGAAGGGGAGCCAGCGATGGATTTTAATCTGGAGAGGGAAATGACTGGAATTGGCTTTCAGATCATCCAGACAGGGGCCTGCAAGGAGCGAGCCAGGCTGGTGGCAGTGTGATCAGTCAGGAGGCTGCTGCATGTGGTTTGGGGAAAGGGATGATGTTGGAGCTGAGGGATGGGGTCGAGGAATGTTTAGAAGACAGTCAGAATTTCAGAGCTGGAGGAGCTCTGGGAGTCATTGCTGAAAGCAAAGCCGTGATGAATAAATGTCCTTGTGTACACATCTTTTCACAGCTACACGATTACTTTCTTAGGGTGAATTCTGCTGCTCTTGGCTCTCACCCACCTGCCCTGAGGTGCTGGTGTTGTATCTAGGCCCTCGTTCCTTTTCGTTGATTCTTGATCTCACCTGAGGTCATTGGTCAAATTTATCTATGGCAGGTAGGTGGTTCACATCTTCATATTTGCTCTATAACCTCTATGTTGGGAGTTACTTATTACTGCCAGGGACTAGGTCCCCTAACCCCCCATCCCCCAGTTGTGTGGCCCTGAAGCTTTAGAAGCACCGCAGTGTGTGGATACTATGGGGACTTGGGAATGAGCAGAACTGGGTTTCAGGTCTGGCCTGTGACCTTGGTTAGGTAACTTCTAGAACCTCATTTGTAAAGTGGGGCTAATGTCATCTTGTATTCAGAGTTGTTAGGAAGAGCATGTGCGTGTTGGCGTGGAAAGCTCTGGCCTGAAGCCGGGCCCGTGGTGGGCAGTCAGTGCCTGCCCGCGCTCACTCTCATCTGGAGGTTCTGCTCCATCCATTTTTAGTCTCTGTTGATCCTTCCGTGATGCTCCTCTGACCCCAGAGTGAAACCCCTCACTTCTTGCCGTGGGCCGTGAGACCTGGCCCCGTGGGGTCGGCAGGTGCCTCTGTCACCGCGCGCCGTGCTCTGACCGCACGGACTGCTTTACTCAGCTGCACTGGCAGGGCCTTCACGCGTGCTCCTGCCTCTGCCGGGACCACCTTCCTGTCCTCGGCAGGCAGGCCCCTCCACCTTCACGCCTCAGCTTTAATGTGACCCTGTGAAAGAGGGCATCCTTAATTCCCTTCCCCAACTCACGGGGACCCCCAATATGACTTTTATAGCAAGCACTGAGTACCCTGTCTTTTCCACCATGGATTTTATGACTGTCAATGTATTTATTTATTTGCGGACTCAGTGAACCTGTGTCTTCTCTACGGTATCCCTAATGCTCAGTACTGAGCCTAACAAAAGGGTAGGCATTTCATAAATATGTGTTGATTAAACGAACGTGTGACCTTTTATAAAATACCAAACCTGTAACTTTTGGCTGCCTTATGTGTAACGTGGGAAAAATAGTATTTATCTCATAGGGTGTGGTGAGGATTGAATAACATATGCTTAGAACAGTAGCTGGTCTGCTGCAAATGGGTCTTCAGCAAATGGGGGCGGCTGTTGTTATTGGTAACAAAGCGGCTGGAGGCGGCGTGGCTGGAGGGAGATGGAGCTTGTAATCAGGGTGGGGGCCTGGGGAGCCCGGGTCGAGAGAGCATGCAGTCACCAGGGCAGGGCCGCGTTTAGTGCAAGGCGGGGGAGCAAGAACCGGGAGGGACGCAGGTCCGTGGCAGTGGCTGAGGACAGTCTGTAGCTGGCAGAGTGGGCGTCGCATCCAATCTGATGCTGGCCTGACTGCGCCAGGGGCCTTTGGAACCAGGTGTGGTTTATGGCTGGTGGGGGTGTCTGGGCAGTGTCGAGTACGGGGGTTCGTTCCTGTGGTAGGGTGGCCTCCTGCTTACTGCATTGACTGAGTTCTCATACCTCTACACACCCTGGCCATGCCCTCCAAAAACCAGGCCAGATGGCGGGCTGGGCAGTGTCAATTTTTACAATGTTTTTG